TAGAACGAATTGCTGCGATGCTCTAGAGCCCTTACTGCAGCGATGGAGACCGTTCCGAAAATTTGAAATGTGAGAAAGCATCGATCTCATTTCGTTCCCTGTCTTTGAGCGTGAGCGCGCGTGGTGTCTGATTGGTGTCTTGAATTACTCTAGAGATGATTTCCTCTTTTTTTTTCATTTTTGCCGCTCAAGAGCTACGATCCCACTCGACAGCGGGGACACCGTCACCACCAGAAACACCAAGCAGTCTGCCAGAACCGTGACGGTCCGTCGAAGCGAGCATGGCGACCATTGATTTTACTTGTAATATGTGCGTGTTCTCCAGCCGAACACAAAAAGGCCTCAGCGTGCATTTACGTAAAGTCCACGCAATTTCACTGTTCAACCGTCCACCGCGACGCAACAAGCCTCAACAAACGCGGAATGTCAGGCGGGTATCTTCGAGCCCTTCATCGTCCGTTATGACGCTCGGCGAAATGAATGTTTCATCCTCGTACCGTGCCCAGACAACTTGTGCTTCAAACTTCTACAACGAGCCCAAGGTGAGTTCGGATCTTATACAGCTCCCGGGTTTGCTGAGCCGGGGGCAGCTCCCTCTGTCACCCTGCTTTCGAAATGCTCCGGTCTAGAGCTAGCTCAGGAGTTTCTGCGTCAAAGTAAATTGCGATACGAGTCCCACATGTGAGAGAACTTATGGTTCCGAAATTTTTCTACGTGCAGACTCAGGGGTATTCCGCCATCATCGAGATGAACGAACGGGGCGCACCCCCGGTGAGATTCGCCGACTGCAGTTCCAGCCACGTTTCCTGGGCGTGCCCCTATATGTGCTCCATTTGCGGCTTCAGAAGTCCCTTCAAGAACGAGCTGTACCAGCACGTCCAACACGGTGAGGACTCCGAGTATGATCAGAGCTCGATTTCGATTACGCAAAAAAAACTGAGACTCGACATCCGACTACAGCGCACTGGCCGGCATCTTTGACGCAAGACATCAGCACCTTCCAACGGGTACCGGATGACATCAACCACGACCTGGTGAGGTTCGAGAGCGCTTGAGCGAATAAGTGAAGCCGAAGAACCCGCCGTCAGAATGATAACAACTCACTCCGTATCATTCCCTCAGATCGATCCGAACATGCATCGCCACCTACAGCCTCAGCAGCATCCGGTGTCCGAGATGAGTCGCATCTGAATGGTAGCAATAGTCCCGGATGTGTGACGAGGGATTGCTGCCGAAAATATTTATCGTGGGCCTTCGGTATTTGAGAGAACCTGTTGGAGACGCTCAAAGCTCCGGAAGGGGGGCTCTTAGGGCGAGTCTGTAAATGCGCTCGACAGGAAGAGTTGTGAAGTTTTAACTCGTACTCTTGTACATACATACAATTTTTGAGAGACAGTCCCGTGCTGATCAAAAATAAAAGCTCGACTCGAAAGAAAGATACCGAAACTCATCAGAACAAATAGAGAAAATGAGAAACAAGTGCTGCGCTCAGAACTCCTGAAACTGATTCAAATCGCCTCCCTATTCCCTCTTAGCACTACGCTCGCCACTCGGACGCTGTGGATGGCATGAACCCGAAATTTGGAGACATCGGACCTGAAAGATATTTGACGGAGCGCCTCGAATCACACGAACTCCGTCGGTTGCATAATTATCGTCGCGACGCCGGTAGCGGCGACGACATGTTAACACACATAGCCGCTGGGAGTTTATTCAATGCTTCCAAACACTGTCTTAACAAAGTCGCCTTTCGCACTATTGTGACGCTATCTAACGTCACAGGAAACGATAAAGAAAGCATCAGCTAATATTTCTCATTCTCTGCTTGTTCGTCAGCAATCTTCCAAAATCTACCAAACACCACGCTGGATACGGGCTTATATCGGCAGGTTGTCATGATTTATGCTGTAGATTGGAGATTCGGGGATCCATGTTCCCGCATCTCGAGTGTGAGGAGTCCCCAGAGAATCTTGCTTGAACTTCTCTGCGGTACAAAGGGTTCCCCTGGAGAATGAGCTCCAGGTTTGGAAGGACAACCCTGTCCGGACTGGATCGATTACCATCGACACTGGATTACTAAATCGCTGCGATCGGGGCTCCTCTTCGGAGACATCTGAGAGAGCTGGGATCGCGATCCGAAGTGTTTCTACGGCGACTATCGACGACAGGATGTTCTGTATGCTTTGGAATGCAAAACGTCGCCGCTGTGGTCTCAATCAATGGAAATGGAGCAGGGTCCCGTCATCGTCAGCATAGAGAAGCGACGGTAGCAGCAGCAGCCGTTTCGTCAACATTGTGGCTAGGAACTCGGTCGAGACGGGACGCTCGAAGGCGACGCGAGCCGCACTCGTCGCGTGCTGCAGAACACCAGTCACCCGGGAGGTTGCTGAGTAGCTGCCGCCACTTCTCGCCGCGCCCATCGAGAGTAGTCGACTCGACGGACGCAGGTTGTTCTTCTTGATCATAATAATAACAATAACATGAAAGAATGCGGAGTGTCTATCACACTCGGAACTCGGATACGATTATAGGGTTTCCGTACCGGCTGTCCTCTTCTTTGGACGAATGTAAACAAAGCTCGGTTTATTGAACTGTCTGCCGTTCGAGTTTGACCTCAATCCGAATGGGATTTCGCTGAGAAGACCGATTCGAATACGAGCCAATTATATAGAATGAAAACCGATTCGAGGACATCAGAGAGACTTCCACACGCACTGTTGTTACCAACCACCCTGATCCCCTCAATGGCTTCTGTCGCAGAATCTTCGAATATATCGATTTGATGGGTTTCCGTGAAACCACTCCTCTCAATCCACGGTTGTGGTCACAGGAGAGAATTACACGGCTTTACCTGTCCCGAGAGCGTTCTTGCGATGAAGTCGCGTCCGAGATAGAGAAATGATTCCGATCAACTCGATTTCCCAGTAAGCAAACCGATTTGTCCGATGCTGGAGAAGGGTTGACCGGTGAGGCTGCTCGCTTACTCGCCGGCCTGCTTATTTAGCTCGCTCTTCTGGTCGGTCTCTGCGAGTGTGTGTGTGTGTATACATATGTGTGTGTTTTGCTTCATTCGACTTGTTTATGTGAAAGCCGAGAAGAAAAGTCGTTGCTTTGTTTATATTGAACAAGAATTATTCTTGAACCAGCGGGAGTAGAAAGTAGTCCCGTCAAATACGACGCCAAAACATCCGATCTTACATGAAACGATATTCCCCGTCTCGCTGAAAACGCTGAGTCCAGGACTGGCGAATGACCAAGCAGGCGCCGAAATGTCAGGAGTTTCCGAAGATGTCAACTGTGACCCCGCTTATGGTCTCTCCTGGACTGAGCACGCGGTCGAAAAATGAAGCTCTTGACTTGAGAAAAAACGAGGCTCCGCCCACGGTATCTCAGTCTGTCGGTGGGGGAGAGCTTTTGAAAGAGAACGAAGCGCCTCCGGAATGGCGCCGAACACCGAGATTGACTTCCGTGCTCGGTCCACTCCCTCGCCAATCGGATTCCGTGCCATGATTCTATCTGATTCACCGAAGTCGTTGTTTCCGCGCAAATTCTAGAGCCAACTGCCCCGAAATCGCGTCATCGATCAGACCTACGAAGAATTCGGATATTGGAGTGTTTGAGACGATTGGGGCATGGAAATCCTGATAATCGTGACCGCCAAACTGAAGCAGGATACTAGTCACAATTCTAAGCTATCCGATTCTTGAGGGATCACTTTGGTTTCGGGAGTTTCGACATGGGATCAGAGCTCTAGTTATTCTTGGGTAGAATCGGATTCAATCGGCACGTTCCTGAGGCGATGGGAACGCTGCATGACGGGGATTTGAGGATGTGCACATTCGTTCGTCGGCGCGCGTCGAAGCAAAGTTCTGAAGTGAATCCTGTCAAGTACGCAGGGTCGTATCTACAGATCAATGCGAAGTTCTTCCAACTATCTGTCCCCAGTACAAGAAACAGTACCGGCTTAGAGTCCTCCGGAGCGTCGCGTCGCTGCCTGAACCATCTCTGCCACGGAGATCATGTTGCCTGGCTTGGCCTTCTTCTCCTTCGATTCTTCCGGAGATTCCCGCGGCGGGAGCCGAATTTCGACTACCTAATGGATCCTTAGCTGATCCGTCGCACTAGGATGGGTTGAAATTGGGCAATGGGACTTTACACAACTGACCCAGATGCTGAGCGGGGGTCGCGAGCTGCGAAAGTATTTCCTCCATAATTTCGCATACTCTCTCAGCGTTCTCCGAGATCGGAGATTATACGAAAGTCTGCCGAGTATTTATGTGACCTTATTGTTTGGCTAAATAGAGAATGCTTTGTAAATATTCTTGGTGTTTACTTCATAAACATCCAGCCGGATACGTCCAGATAGCCGAACTGTCCGGAATGCTCCTTGGCGACGACGTTATCCGGCATGCTTGTGGTTTCCTTTCTTGGCTCTCGAAATCGTCAAATATCTTCTGCACAGATAACTTTTCATTTCACCGTGACAGATACCGCATCGAGCGGGCTAGCAGTCCTTCAAGCCTTCAGAGTCGAAGCCGAACTCTGAGAGGGCTCGAACTTCGCTTCATATCAGTTGGTAAATAGTTTAGCGTGCCTACCAGCCGACTTAATGCGCCTGTGAATCTGTGAATGCCATCCATGTGGCCTGTGCGAACGCCGTGTTTGACTTTCGAAGTGCGGAGGGGAAGTGTAATACAATGATCGGGTTTTTAATTAGCTTCTTTTGTGAGGATTGTGTCGATTCCGCACAGAACTAACATTCCGCGCGCAGGGAGGCGGATCCCCTCCGCGTTGACAGCGGCTCGCCTAGGATATGGAGAAGGCAGCGGTAAGGGTCTAAGCGTCTCTTTCCTATCGCCACGTGAGTCCAGGCTTTCAGAACCTCATCGGATGATCAGTTGTGCCTGTTAGCGGCTTCGGTGCATCACGACGGAATTTCTCCATCTTATGTCGATTGGAACTTGACTTCGAATACGTGCCAAATTAGCTCCTTGACGCCAGAGGTTCCGGAATCGTGCTGCAACTCGAGAGGGACGTCGACCAGAGTCTCGGAATTCATATCGGCTCCCGCACTCTCAGATCGAAGCATATTTGTGAAATCATCGAGGAAACTCTTCTTCGATCGCCCTCTTCGGACTGGCTGAGGACTGCTCTCACCCGTTTCCTCTGCGAGGTGTCAACCCGGTGGATCTCGTGAGTCGAATCCATTCCAATTCGATTGCAATGCTCAAAACTCATCTTCGAGAACAAGGAGCTCCGTGTGCTCACTCTCGAGCTCCGGGTCAAGAATCGTCTGAATAAGTGACAGGCAGATTGACAAGCGGCTATCGACAGAGCCGCTTTCAGAAAACGCTGACACGTATCGAGTTTCCATGAAGAACACGTCGAGTGCGAAAAAGTTGAGATCGGAAGGAGCTCAGCCGCCGAGCTTGGTGGCTCTCAATCGAGAATCCCCTTCATTGAACTCGGCGATCATCATAATTATACGTAGGAAAACAGATACATTTGAATTCCGGAATTTCCGAAGCTTCAAACTTTCGAACCTTAAAATATGTACATCGCAGAGTAGGCGGAGTAGCGTGAATACGCGGGTGACATGGCTCATGATGAGGAGGAGATGGACTCGCTCGCCGAGGCAAGCTCTCGCTGCGCGGGCTCGAATCATTGTTGATTTGTTGAGTACATCCGAGGGAGTAGAATGAACAGGTCGGCGTGAGCGCCGTGCGTAACTACGAGCCGATTCGACGACGCGCCGTGTCTTCTAAGGAACACTTATCCTGGGGACCGGTGCCTTCCGGCTGAGCACAGGCTGTTCTTGATCTCGAGACGACTGGCTTCGAGATAGAGGGAGCCGTCCGCGCTGTTTAGGTCGTAATTTTGTTGCACTCCACGAGTTCGAGCGACCGATCTCGGCGTCAAGCAAACCAAGTTATCTTGTGACTTCGGAAGCGGATGGGGAAGTCAGTCTAAGGTGTTCCGTTTTCCTTCCATGAGTTTTCATCCGAGAAGGTTGCTTACCACACGATCAACAGCGAACACGACCATTACATAATTCTGGACTCTGTTTGTTTGTAGAGTTCGGTACCGAGGCAACGGAGATTTTCGCGCGGAAGCATGGTTTTATCCCCTCCACCCATGGATCTCTCCCTCCAACAAAACCAACAGCACCGACAGCAACAGCAGCTGCAGTTTTATCACCCACAGAGTCGAAGGGAAGACCTGCAACAGCAGTCAAAGGATGACTCCATGTCACCCGGTCTCCGATTCACTGAAGTCCTCTTCGAGAGCCCACCGCCGCATCGAGCGATCGAGTCGGTCAAAAGTCTCGAAACGAAGAACGTCTCAAACATTCACCGGAAACCCCCATGCAGCTACATCGCTCTGATCGCGATGGCCATCAGGAGCGCACCAGAGCAGAGAATCACCTTGAATGGGATCTACAAGTTCATCATGGAGAACTTCCCCTACTACAACGACAACAAACAGGGTTGGCAAAACTCGATACGACACAATCTTTCACTCAACGATTGCTTCGTCAAAGTCCCTCGAGAGAGAGGCAAGCCCGGTGAGTTATCATCACCCACCGAAAATTGAATACCCCCCGCGACTTACTTGACCAATACATCCGGAGAGATCTAAATCGCTATCTTTCGGTGGCCTTTGCGATAGTCGCAGCGGCACTCACTTAATTCTTCCCGACGTAATCTTTGGCGATACAAGAGGTAGATGTATGAGTTATGGAAGAGCTGGAGCTTCAGCGAGAGAATGAAACTGGTTCCTTTCTTGTCGAAGAACCGATAGCGGGCGGGCAGTCTCTTCGTGCGCGGCCCCCTCTGGCAAAATGTGAGACCTCGCTGTGAAGATCCCTCCTTTCTGCATATTCTGCGAAATTGGTGTGAATAACCGGATTGCTCAGGGATGATTGATCAACAAAATTGCCTCCTCCCCGAGGATCATCTTCAATTCCCTTGTTTTCCATTCCGATTCATTATACGGCCAAACTCAGAATAGCGCTGGAAAAGAAGGAGCTCGGAGAGCCCATGCCTAGTGACTCGACGGAACGGAAGTCAACATGGCTGGACATCGTGGCCAGATAGATAGCCTGAATGAGATAAGAATCGGTCAATGGGTTCTGTGACCTTTTTTCGTTGGTCGCCGTCTTTTCCTCGTATGGGAGCGGCGGCGTTGGACGCGTTTAGGCAGACGTGCGATCCCGTAGAATCTGTCTGCTGCCTACTCAGAGCCAATCTTGAAGACACTCGAAAATAGCAGTAAATAAACTATACGCCTCTCACGCGTCGGATTCACTCTGGACGGCCGACCGAAGGTCATGTTTCCCCAATCGCGGAGGCAGCAACAGCGTTTGAGGAAACCCGTTTCGACCTGATAGTGGTGGCTGTGTCATTCACTTGCTTCCACCGTCGCTCGTATTGTCATGGAGTCCAACTCGCAGATAGTAAAAAGCCTCGGCGTGTCGTAACCGCTTTAACGATCATCGCAATGTTTCCGTAGGCAAAGGGAATTACTGGACTCTCGACACGAAAGGCGAAGAAATGTTCGAGAACGGGAACCTCCGAAGGCGCAAAAGGCGACCCAACTCATCTGTTCGGCTCCGGAGCGTTCAATTGCCCTTCAGCGAAGAAAGCCGAGTCCATTTGGAGAGCCACAACGAAACAAATAATTCGAGCATCAGAGATTCGCGCCTCAGCGATGAGCTTAATCGTCTTTTCATCACAGCAGACCCAGACACCAACAAGCCGCTAGACGACTTGGGTCTGGCTGCTCACTCGAATTCCCTCGACGACTTCCGAATACTGCAACATCTGCATCCGGAAGCTTCCCAGGGAGACCGAGCTCAACCGTCGAGCACGTCTCCAACCCTCGAGGGCTTGCCCCTCTTCCACATACTCGCGATTCAGGAACGGTTTCGCAGTATTCTATTACAACGCGTGTGTCCACAAATCTCTGGTGAGTCGTCGACTTTGAAGAAGCCTCGATGATTACGGAATCCTTGGGACTCAGGTAACTGAATATCGTTTTCTTTCTTGTGACAGGAACCGAAGGTGCGTTCCACATACCCCCACCAGAGAAACGGGCGTTCAAATCTTTCAACATTGAAGACATAATCCGTCCGCATTCAAGTCCTAATCGATCGCATTCTACCGCAGAACCAATGATATCCGAAGTGAATACTAGACTCCCCTTACAGTTTTACGAGTTTGCGACCCATCATTCACATAGCCAGCAACAACCGCATCTACATCAGCATGTATTCCATAATTTCGGTGCTTTGTCTGATTGAAGGTCACTCGTATCATGTTTTGAGCTAGCTTGACCATTAGACCCTCGAATCGAAGGGTCCTCATGTACGATTGGCTCCTGAAACGAGTGGGTAAACGACGGTAGAGGGAGGTCGCGTAAACACGGTGTTCACGTACAACGAGGACATGATCCCCAGCGCCTTCGCGGTCTCGATTAGACGGTTCGACCTGTGAAACCTGGGAAGCTCAGGAACCCGAGCAATAAAAGTTCGCGCCACTGTTTGGTTGGATATCGAAACGAGACGACGAGTTCATGAAACAAAACCATGAGCACTAAGTAAGATTCGGCTTCCCGGCCAACCCCACTCGGACGAGAAGCCGTTGAGGGTGAAAGCTATAATATGATATGATATGATATGATAGAATATGATATGGGCGGATCATAAATCATAACCGAATGGGAAACAACAATCATTTGGTGAAGATGCAATTTCGACGCACATTCAATTAACCCCGAGGTCCTCAGCTATTGTCGCTTATTCCACCACTGGCAGAGGAGCATTCATGCGGATGAATCGATCATCACCTCACATGAATAAAGTCCCTGAAAGCTTTCTTGTTCAGTTTTGCTCTTCCGCTTGAGATTTCGAGTCGAACAGTCTCAGCAGCGACACTCGGAACTGGCCGCGGAAGTACGGCGGGCCGAGCGTCACCGCTCCGATCGTCCCCGCTCAGTTGTGCCTAAGATCCAGCGATAAACTCAGCGCCGCTCAAAACTCAGATTCGTTTAGAGCTCGAAAGTACTGTCAGATTTCCTTTTTGTTGAAGTATTCCCGATCACCTTCTCAAAATATTTATCCATCCGTCGGCATCCCCCTCAAGAGAGCACCCTAAAGAGGATATCCGGTTAAAGATTTTACGTGCTTACGTGTGTAGGGCTGTGTAGACTAATCTTCGTGGTTGTTGATTGGTACGCGCCTATGGCTGGGAAAGCAGTGTCCGACCAAAGCATGGTTCGCTGCTTTCTCGTCTTGAATATCTTCCCCCACTCGTTTCCGTAAACAGAGGCCGCTTCGACTCTTGACGGTAGCCCGGGAGATGTTTTTCATCTTTCGCTCAACGCCCTCTCAGCGCATGATTCAGTTTTCACGTTCAATATTTCTCTCTGTCTATCTTCCACTGTAGCGGCGATAGACCGACCAGAATGCACTCTCGAGCCACGATGATATTGGGAATCAACCCGGTGATCACTACGCTCGGGACGATGCGCCTGCTTCCACACACCTCAGTAGAGCGGAAGTAGTCGGCGACGCAGGAAGAGGAGACTCCAAGCTTCATCCTACTAGAAGCCCGAGCATCCAACCTCCCCCCATGACCTTTCCCTGTCGAATCGGGAAAAATTCAGCGTCCAGCTGCTACGACAACGGAATTTCTACTACTGAGCCATTGGTGTCAATATTTAGGCTAAGGGAGACTTCCTGAGAAACTCGAGGAAGCCAACAGCCTCACCTTCGTCCGGGAAACTGGAGCCCGAAGGTTTACCGGCATTCTCCGCCACTATCACTTCAAAAGGGACCTGCATGATTTGGGGATCGGCTCCAATTGATCTCCCTCGGTTTAGCGCTATGATTTCCCCGATCCTGTAGAAGACAATGTTGAGAGTAAAGAAAACCGAGATCCTCGGAACCGGGAGGAAGTCGAGCCGGAGGTGGTGGATGCTCGGACTCCCTCGACGTAAACAGTCAGGATCTTCCGAGTGTACTCTTGGGTCTGGGCTGCCAGCTCTCAGCGTTCAAGATTCTGACTCTGGCTAAGAAACAGCAGGCAAGGAAAATCGCTGTAATTCATTCCGACTCGTGAGGAATCTCACAGATGTAGTTCCTCCCCACGGAGGTCTCTCAAGCTTCGGAGAATCTGCAATCGAGGAAACTCTGAGGTGCGTGGAGCTCGCTGTGTTTCCCGCGACGAAAACACGGGATGGTGGGTTGTGGTCTCAACATCGCGGAAGAGCGCTGATTAGACTCCGCCTGCCGGCAGGTTAGATGGGAGTTTCTGAAACTGAGAATGGTTCCATTCTCAGCCCTTTACGGCATCTCAGCGTCAGAATGCACTTGAGGTCCGTATTCTTATTTTCTGCACTCACTCGAATCATTTCATTCGACATGCTTCATTCTCGCGCGTCTCGATGGGTAGGCATACTACCAGCCTTCACTCTTCTTCTCTCGATAGCTCCAACATCCGCCCAGCGCTGCGGAACGGGTAGCTGATCCGTCGGCGTCGTTCGATCGTCGGCCTCTCTCTGCCCTTAGCGGCTACGGCACCAGCGTTAGTCGTGTTTGTTTGTTGAAATAACAGTCGGTAGTTTCTTCTCTTCGTGTTCGTCGACATCGCCCTCGAACATGTATTCGTTGTCGTTCTCCTATTCATCCTACTTGTAATCATAACACGTTGAGAGGAAACGCGCGCCATCTGGGGAAACCAACAAACTCCCGCATAGGGACGGGGTCACGTGAGCGAGAACGCAGCAAGCGAGGGATCGATCGTTCACGCAATCATTCGGGAACTGGGCACGATCCTCATCGGCGAATTATCGCGCCTGCGGTCCGGATTCTGATACGAACTCGGAACTCACACTCTGACGCTGGGCCGGCGGCGTTCGCTCCCGGAATTCCGACGATTGATTGGAGATACCGCGAGATATTCTATCGACCCGCTTTGCAGAATGCTTCTGGAAATTTCCAGGCGGTTCGCGGGAAATTCCCTCCAATCGGTGCGTTTCGATTCCTCTTCGAAACTCTCCGCGCACCAATGTCTCTAGGGACCTTATTGCTGCACTAGTGTCCAAGCAAGGCAGCGATTGGGGTCGTCGACGGTTTCTCTGTGAGTTCTCTGCATGCTCTTTCGATCGGCTGACGGACGAACGGATGAAGAGCATTTTTCCATCGTTCGTCGTTGTTCCATCGGTTTCCCTGTTTGTATTCCACGAACTGGTGTTTGAGAATGTTTGTTTGTTTTTGAGCAAGTGCGTCAGTGAGTGAATATTTGTATATGGGCGCATGTAGTATGCGAGCAAACACCGGTGAGCCAGCGTTTCGATTGCTCCTTGCGTCTCCTTTTTCTCCGGTTTTCTCGATTTCCGCCGCTGCTCGTTGTTGTTCCATTCAGGGTAAACAAGTGAATTACTTTCTTTTCCTCTGCCCAACCGCCCGTCCATCCACCGTGTGTTCTCTGCATCCTGCTCACTCCTTTGTTCTCCGGCTGCTCAGTCGCGTCCACTGTTTACAATTGGAGCACCAGGAGCCGGCAGCAGCAGCAGCAGCGGCTTCTCCCTCCCTCGGTGCTCTCCCCGGACAGGACGAACTGGGAACGAGCGAGCGAGTTCTATCGAGAAGCAATCTCGAGAAATAATAAGGTCTCAATGGCAGGAATCATAAGTTGCCCCGAGACCTCAAGGTCTATTCAGGCCTACCTGAGTTTTGATATCGGCAGGGCCCTCGTAATTCAACGCTTTGATATCGCATTCGAGTTTCCTCGACGCATCGTTTGAAGGAGATCTGGAGAAGCACTTCTAGTCCCGTGCTCCTCGTCAGATAATTTGGAGTCCTCGACGAAGTATCGGAGTCTCAGAACCCTGAATCGTAGAAGAAATACTCGAGGACTTCTAATCTTACTCGTCGGTCTCTCGACGAATTGGAGCCACTCTGATTTGACTCTCCCTACCACCGGAGGGGACGGAGAACTCTAGACATGGATGAAGGCAAATATAAGTGTCGAGTGGCGCTGAACTTCGTCGGCGGTCATTCGGAAACCATTGGAATTATGTCACTCGATACTGTGAATGGAGCTGGCCCCGACGGCGGCATCTACAAGCCCTCTCCGGAGCGTAGCTCGCCGACCAGACATCCGGGACATGCGACGCCGGAGGAACAGTAGACTCGAACGTGTGGATCCGTTCGCGCGGTCTTATTCAGGGATTCGACGCCCACGCATCGAGCAACAAACCCCTTGCTGGAAGTTCGCTTCCGCTGCTGTAGAACGATCAGCGATGATTGCTCATTCGAAGCAAGCAAAGTTCTCCGAAGGCTTCGGCCCGGAGGCCAGTCGCGAAGCTGAGCACGCGCTAAGGATCTCGGCTAAGCCGCGATGTCTTTCAAAACGAATTGCCGAAACTAAATGAATAGCAGCCGAAATTACGAGTGGACATAGTGGATCCAATTCCAATTTATTATTCGGCTCGAGGCGATCTTTCCTCAGGATTCTCGCGATTCCTTCTTGCCTATGTCAGACGATAGCGATGGCTGCGGATTTTTTCCCGACGTTATGACCGGAGAGGCATCACAGGGGCCGATGACTAAAGGACATCCGAGAATGAACGGCGTGAAATTCGGAATTCAGACTCAACTCTATGCGAAGTCGTGACTGGTGACAGTGAGGTCTGACGAAGCATGTAAGGTCACACAAAGCAATCAATGAGGCTACCCTTGTCGAACAAGAGAAGGGCGAGACGGAACCTATGTCGAAGTCCCTCTCTCGAGACAATCTCATCGATGAAGTGATGACTTGGCCTCGCAAATAACCGCGAAATCCGGAAACCGCAATTTGCGATTAGTCGGAGACCGCAAAATGGGAACCGCGGTTCAAACCGCTTACGAATCGCAATTTCCCCCGGATCGTCCAAGCTGCGTGGATCGCTGAGGATTCCGACGAGAGGTCCGCGGGGTCCCGTTATTCATACGAGTCGGCTTGAGGAATCGAATCGACCTGATGATCACGTCATCCCGTCTGATGTGCCCGGCATATGAGAAACGTCAATGATTCATGAGTGGAAGATGACTTTATTCGGGGAGAAAATAATCGTCGAGTTTTCCCTGGAAAACTCAGCCTAAAGGGTTTCCATTGCTACGGGAATCCCTTACTGTGGGCCCCGAAAGCCGTTCGTGGCGTGGCCGCTTGCCGAATACTCCCAGCATAAGACTCGAGAGTGATTCCGAGCCTTGGCGCCGGGTTCCGTCGGAAATATCGTCCTCGTTACTTAGGGCACGCTGATCGGGATCGTCGTACCAGGGAAGATCTCTCGGCTGTTCGGTCCCTCCCCTCATCGCTCGATGAATAGCTTTCCGCCTAATCTGATGGATTGCATGAATGTGGGAAACGGAGCTCCGACTCAGAAAGAATTCCCCACGGGACGACTCGAGGAATGAGACCGCAAGAAAAACCGCGCGGGAGTTTTTCCCGCGTAAATTCGAAAGCCGTCAGCTGGAGCAATATGGCTGCCCCCGGCGGTCCAACTGTTCTCTAAGATCAATCGCCGACTCCCATGACATATTTAAACTGATTGCTCCGATTTAACGAGACTTTTACCGTGCAATACCGCTGTTCAGAGCGGAGGATGGCAGTAAAGAACTTGACCGACGTGTACATGCTCATGCGGAGTAACTCCGTGCGAGCGAAACATACTCTCGAAGAAGTGAGTGTATGTATTTGACAGCTTGAGACACGATGTTCGAACACTAGGGCGCTGAATGTGGGAGCTGTTGATTTGCCGGGCTTGAGGATGATTTCTGCATCCCTTCTTGGAGCAAGCTCTTGGAATACTTTCTTCATTGTATGAATTACTCGGAAAGTGAAGGAAAGCTTGTCCACGGGTAGCGAGTCCTTATCCTAGGTCCTAGGCAGGTTGCCGTGAAGCTGTCAACGTTCCGGAATTCCGATTCGGGGTAAAGCTCTCAGGAGTCGCGATCTCGATTTGGGAAATCGAGTCAGGATACTCCTCCGAGTATCCAGAACCCTCGCGTTCGCAGAGGCCCAACGAGTCAATCTGATTATTCAGCGTGTCGTGTAGAGGAATGTGGGATGATCTGTTCTGGCTCGTGGACTCTAGATCTGGCTCTCGTTTAGATCTTTCCTTGAACGTGCAGAGAACGCCCCCAAATCAAAATGTTGCAGCTCACAAGCCTGATTTGCAGTTCCACGATGAAGCGGGTGACACGGTCGCCTTGGTTAGTCCAGACCTAGAGTCAGGATTGTACAGAGGTAAAAAAGTCCTCCAGCCTCCCCTGTGGACCGACAATCTCGAGCAGATCACGGCTGAGCTCGTCAAAATCCGGAATCACTGTGAGTCCCCCTGGACAAGTGAATCATGGCTCCAGAGATAGAGTTGCAGGCTTCCATCCGGTAGGAGAAGTTTCAATACTTTCTCAAATGGATACTCATTGCCCGTGATTCCTCGCGCAGTACGGGATTTGGACCGGCTACACGACAAGCACCTGAACAGACCTTCCCTGATGGACGATCATTCGGAGGAGAGACGGATACAGACTTCAACGCAGACCATCGGACAATTGCTGCATGACTGCCAATCGCACGTCAGCATCATAAATCGGTCAGTTAATTGCAGGGCATCCCGTCGACTGCGATTCCACCTAATTACGCTGATATTGATCGATAGCTGATTCGGTTCACCTCGAAGTCGGATGTTCAGACCGGGGAGACTGTATACATAGAGCTTCACATCTTACATCCACTGTCCTCACATCGAGCTATTCCTTTCCCAGCTCTGCTTCAGGGAAAAACGAGGGGTCTGCTGAACGACAGTTGACGGAAAATGTCGTACGAGCTGTCGCCGGTCAGCTGAGGGACGTGACCGAACAATTTCGGCAACGACAGACGGATTACTGTAACAGTTGAGTTCAATATCGGTCCTACCGCGTCCCCGTTCTCGGGAGCGGGGCTCAGGTTTCAGCAGGTCTGGTTCAGAGCTCCTGATTATCATCTTTCTGCGTATGCTGGAATCTTTTCACCCAACAGGGATTAAGCAACGCAACAATGCCGGATCCTTCTTCGACAACCTCCAAGCAGAGCAGTCACCGACGGAGACTATCCTACAAAATGATGTGAGTTCGAAACGACGGAAAGGAATTCTCGGCGCACACGATCTCTCGCCGCCATACTTGAAGCTCCTAACATCGTTCTGTCCTGTATGCATACAGATGATGTTCGTGACGACTCAAGATCTGCTGACATCCGAGGAGGTGGCTCAAAGGGAACAGGAAATCCAGGGTGTCGTTCGCTCTATACATGACTTGAACGCTGTTTTCAAAGTAAGAGATGGGAAGCACTCTCCCCGGCATTAAGAATGAGATGAGACTGATGGCTGTTGCAGACCTCAGTAGCTACTGAGTGAGCGTGTATTCTCTTGAAGGAAGTGGCCCAGCTCGTCGTCGAACAAGGATCGGTGGTCGACCGTATCGACTACAACGTGGAACACGTGCAAGCCTCGGTGCAGCAAGGTCTCCAGCAACTACACAAAGCGGCTGCTTATCAACGCGGTAACGCAAAGTTGAAGTGCATCGTCATCTTGACAGTAGTGACCGTTTTCATGACTATTGTCTTATTCGTGACGAAGTTGAGCTGAGGGCCTCCTGTGATCTCTCTCATCGAGCATGAAGATCCTGCGGAGTTCTCGGAACGAGCCCCAACTCCTTCCCCGAAGTTGCCTCATGAGGGTTTCGTTCATCATGTTGGTCATGTCAAGGTTCTACTCGAGATCGAACGTAATCCGCCGTATACGAGTGCCTTTCAGTCATCGCCGAGCGGGATTCCTTTTGAACTGTCATATACGCTCCTCGGTGGATGGCGGCTGGGCTTCGCTGTTCGAATCGGGGAATTATGAATTATAAGCAGATGTGATATTCGCTCGGTCCTAAAATCAACGGAGACTATCTGCTGATGAGCCCGTGTTATTGTGTAAATATGGAGAATTGGGAATTATTGCTTCCCTGCCAGAGTGGGAGCCTCGCTTTCACTAAGCTTGCCCCTGTGAGCTCGGTCGAGAATTTCGCCCCATGGACTCGTAGCGGAAGCGGTCATACATCACCGCCGACCTATGAGGAATCGCACAACAGTTGTTGAAATCTACGAGGATGGATAACTCCCGCATATGGAAGAGAGGCTTAGAATCAAGAGAATGGATTGAGAGGAAGTAATCGCCCCTCCAAGCCGACTGATCTCGATTCGGGAGCCGGACGGGGGACATGAAACGAACATATATATATATGAGGCGAACATATCAATAACTAACTAAGACTTGGTATGAGCTTACGGGCTACATAAAAGCAGAAGCTTGTCTTATCGACAACGATTCTTTATTCAATCTCTCATCTTGATCACCGAAGATACGACCCTTAATCAGAAAATGCTCCCGTCCTATCCTAACTGTGAGGCTTAACATTCGAATCTCCGACCGATCGAATATCTTTGCAGTCAACGCGAGGCTTAGGCTCTATGATCCACAGAGCTCCGACGGAAAGGTACGAAGTCTTAAGCGATCGGCTTATTTACATTGGTTCGCTCCTAATGATCGAAATCGTTCTGTGCTCTCGCCCTTGGAATCTAACTTGTCATTTGATGATCCGACGTCAATGCTACCCCTGCTTGCTAGGAGGTAGCAAATATTCGAAATATAAGACCACATTTCGTTTCACACTCAGGGAATATGTAAGTTCCATTGCAACAAGAGAAGGGTGGGGGTCTTCCGCTTCCGCTCATTCATTCTCACGTCTTTTCCGTCCTCTCGTCCATCTCACCTATTGGAAATTACAGTTCGAGTGTTGTCTTGCTATCATCATGATCATTCTCGTGTCGCGGGAGGAGGTCGTTACAAAAGTTCCCCGAGGACTGCAAGTCACAAAATTTCTTACTCATCAGCGATGCCCGAGACGCCTCGGGCGCGACTAATATTCGAGGGTTTATTCTCAAAGTCTCCTCGATGTCTCGTTCGCACTAAAAAACAACTCAATAGGAATGGGTTTCTTTTCGCTCGTCGCATCATCCAGGCAGGTCTGATCCGCGTTTCGCGAAACCCGTGCTCCGGCAGCGCCATGTGCGGGCTCGGGAGGGACTGCGAACCCCAACATTGCCATCTCCGATTCCCGCTTCTCCTGATTACTGGTCGAGCTCTATCCTAAGCTTTTCATCGTATCGGAGGCTTCAAGCATGGAGAAATTCCAGAACAGTCATCGTGTATCCGACAAAACTGAAAAATCGTGAAACAATCACCAAATTAACGAGGAGGAATCATCGAGTTGACTCGACAGGGGAACCGAGAGATGATGAAAGATGTAAAAAGCCTGAATTTGGAGTTCCAAATGGCCAACATCTCTCGCGTACTTTCAATGAAGGCTCCTAATGACTGACTCCGGACAATGGTAAGGTCCATTATTTTTTTATGATGTTCTCTATGATCAAGTTACAAGTTCAACGAGAGAATACATTGCTTCATGCGTCGGGCTGGACACAATGGAACCGCATGTGCGTTCTTACGGGCGTTCGCTAACGGTTCGCGCGTACTCGCCCGAACATTTCGAACATTTAGGTGATTCCGTGATCCGCAACGCCATGCCCACTTGACGAATATCGGTTGGTCACTTAGTCCTGTGGTACCACTTGCGTATCGGTTCTGCAGTTACACCATAGGGTTCTCATTGTTTCTCTGTTCTGCGGTGTCGCTCCAAAGCGTCCAAAGCCGAATATACTCTAACATCTCATTCTTTCTTCGTATCGACGTTTGATTTGATACTATTAAGATGTTCGATACTGCAAGCTATGATACGGCCTCGACCACATGGCTCCCCTCAGGCATTTACAACAAACGTCAAGATGCGCGGTACATCGATGGTAATAGTGATGATGATTGGAGATTTATGAGCACCTAAAGAGACGACTCGTGGACCGCGCTCAAGGCGGAGACTTTTTTCCCCCGGAGAGCTCGCCTTAACAGCGAATGTGATCAACGGAATTGATTTGTGCCGGTAGAGTCGGGGCGCCCGAATATTGAAACTTTTTCTCCTTCCTCTCCCGACTCCCTACTTCTGCTACGACGGAAAGTCAAGCTCACGTCCCGACAGCAATCACATGTCGTTCTCTGCTCTCGCCCTGTTTCGGAGGGAATCGATTGATGGCTGTATCCCCGCGAGCCGCAGTTTCCCCGAATTCTTCCATCGAATGGACGGTAGGAGTTGACGACACCTTCAAACATGTCCTGGATACGGCCCATGTGTACCGCGATCAGGGGCGTACATAGGATTTTTTTTGGGAGGGGCCAGCAAGGTTTCTGGGGGGGGCAGAATCATGATGATGATCCCCATGGACCGCAACGTACGGAGGCGGCGTTTTGGGGGGGGGGGATGGCCCCCTAGCCCTCCCCTCCCTATATACGCTACGAAGTACGTCCAGTTAGATTTTACCCGGGTCCCCACAGGACCCTGACTTGAGCTACGGGCGCCTCCAACGATCGTCTACTCGGCGTTCTCTGCATCGGAAACGGGTCGCATACGGGCAGAGATTCATCAATTGTTCGATTTTGGATTTGGAAAATGATACATGTCGTAAGTAGCAACGATTCGTTAGAATATAACGTAAATAGGACGCCTCGCCAGCGCATAAAAGGTCAACGAATGCAGTTTTTTGTTTGTGGAACTCTACTCCTGAGCAAATCCTTCAGTCTCCTCGATGGCGTAGGTCAGTTTTTCGACGAGTTGCTCATATGACTTATACGGAGGCAGGTCAAGTCTGTTGAAACAGGTATGGCTCCGCGGCAACCAGGTCTCCTTGCCGACTTTCTCGACGCAGAACCGCTGCGGTCCGTTGCTCCCTGAAACGACAGCATTCAGAAACTGTTCGATGGCATCGGGTGAATGAGCTCGACAGAGAAACGTGACGGCTGGAATCGAAGCACTCACCCATCAACTCGGCGAATCCTCCTACAGGTACGCGACAGGTCCCTGTCACGAATTGCAGTAGACGCATACGCTTCTCGGAGTCCATTTCCCGGATGAATTGCCACAACCAAATTATCTGTTTTGAAGAGCGAGTATAGTGTCGATAGATGGTGTTCTTCTGCCAATCATCGATGTCGATCTCCTGCATTCCGCAGAGCATCAGCTCGAGCTCGCGCTCGTCGAAGTAATGGAGCCATTCCAGCGGTAGAACCTCGTTGAAACTGCAAAGATTCAACGAGTTTTGATGGAAATGTCCCCACCGATGTCAACGCTCGTCAATTTTTTAGTCCTGAGATGAACCATTCTGGATGAAGCGTCTCTGCAGCAACTTCAAATCCGGACTCACCCGTCGAGGAAGGATTTGGTTTGCTCCTCTTGTCCTCTCGAGAAACGCCAATCGGTCATCAGTCGCAAATATTCGTCTTTATTCTCTTCGCTGACCCGGATGTCGGCTCCACCGGGTTTGAGCTCGTGAGACTGAATTTGACCGAGGATCTCAAAGTCTACATTGAAATACAACTCCAACTGGCAATCTTCGATGTTGTTCTCCCGAATCCAAACGAGCGAATTGTAGAACTCATTATCAATGCTTTCGATGTCTTTCATAGTAAGTTTCTTGCCCAACATCCTCTTGTAGAAAGGCAACGTGAAACCCGAATAGATGAACTTGCCGTGGAAAAGAGCCATAGCGATGAATCGACCTGCAGAATATCATGAGATGACCCAAAAATGACAGAGAACCTCCCGCCTCGGGTTTGCGACTGCCTACAGGCTCCCGATGAGGAGGCCTGCACAAAACACTTCCTTCCCGGTACCAACCTATGAATCTAAAGTACAACAGGTGATCTGGATTGACTGAGCTTGCTGGATTGATTTGAAGTGAATAGTTGTTCTTGCCCGCGTACTCAAAAAGACAGTACATCGGATTAAGAACTTCGTGTGACAGGAGGAAAAACCATTCTCGAGCGATGCCTCCATAATCGAGGCCTTCCTCGCCCTGTGAAATGAGACGTTCAATAATGATTAGTGATTAGTCTTCATTCTATCGCTCCATTGCGTATTGTCCGAGCAGATAATCATCGATACATCGGATCGCAAGAACGAGGTAAATGATTATCTCAATAGAGACGATCACGATTGCGATATTATTCACCTTGAACGTGATGAAGAGTCGTCGACGTAATTCGTGGGGGGCTACTCTCATGATCTGACTGAACGAATCCTCGAAAATTCCGTTGCGACTCACAGTGACCTAGAAGGAACAAGAATGTTCCGCTTAAGGAATGGCGGTTCTTCTGTCGGTTGTCTGGCGATCAGGATTCGGAGGAGACTAGACATCATATCTGTATAGGAGAGACTCGAACAGATACAAACCTTTATGTGACTCGGTAGAGAGTTGCAATGACAGAGGTATCTGAACTGAGTTAGTTTCCATTTGAAGTTTCTCTCATACGCTAAGGGTACTCCGTAGGCGCCCTTTGGACTCTTGCCCGCAGGGAAGGGGCCCGTTCTTGGGTCGTTGAATGTCGTACTCCGCGTGTTGTGATCAACGAAATATCTCACGCCATCCTTTGTGTGCTTGATTTCCCATCCGGGCGGTAGTGGATCTTCTTTGCCTTGAGTGCGCGGATCTTCCCATTGCGTGGTTTTGTTTTTATGATTTACAAAGTACACGCGACCGTTGGGATCGATACGTTTCTCCCAGCCTTCGGGCAATGGTCCCAGAGGGTCGTCCTCCTCCACTTGTACTGGAGTGTGGTAAAGATATCTTTGCTGGCACTGCTGCATCGCTTGGGCTTGCGTCGCCTATAAGGTAGGAGATCACAACTTCAGAGACACGAACGTATTCACATCCAAACGCGGGTTCCGGGAAAACCCGCGAGAAATTTCGCAGATATAATCTTCCTGATATGCGAGAACATGATTCCGAAGGAACTTCGAGAGAATCTCGTCGGATGGTCACGATCCCATCCCGACACCCGTCACAGCGATGGACGCAGTGCTTTTGTATCTTCAGGAGGCGCGATTATCTCCAAAGTTCGCGTTTGAGGTCTCGCTCGAGATACAGCAGAGAACTCACCTGCCAGTGCTGGTAATTCCGGACGCTCTCAGGAGTTGGTTTTTGCCAAGTGGTGGTTCGGGTGTTGTGATCCACGTAATAGACTCGACCCCGATTGTCTCGGCGCATTTCCCAGCCCGATGGGAGCGGCTGAGGTCTTTCCCATGTGGTTGATCTAGTGTTATGGTCGACGTAATACTTTCGGTTGAACTGATCGAAACGAACTTCCCAACCCAGCGGAAGCTCTTCCGGAGTGTCGTCGATGGGCGGAGGTCTGGATTCGGCGCGGCTTCTTCTCTCACGACCGTTTCCGTTCCTTGTGCCATTCGAGCTTGCTGAAGCGGCACCCGACGCCGCGGCCGCTCCGGCCGGTGGAGGAGGTGCATCGCCAGGTGTTGCCGGTGGAGGTGCGTCCGCAGGCGGAGGAGGACCTGGAGGACCAGAACCCTCTTCCGCAACGGGGTATATCGATGCCACCGGAGGAAGACTGAATACGCCACCTGGGGATACGAGCGAGGCTATTACCGGTTCCGAGGGTAGACCCGTCTCCCATACTCCTTCGAGTTTACTCTCCCTCACGAATCCGACCTCGGACAGCGACCTTGGGCCCAAATATGGGCAGAAAATCGGAACCCGACGAACAGAACCGTAGAAAGAGCACGATTCTTCATATTATTTTTTTGAGCAGATGTCGTTTCGCGGCTGACTGAAGGAATTTGGCCTGAAACTCGTTGGAGCTCCGAGCCCAAGGAGCACCCCGGGCTCGACCCGGTCTCGAAAATTGTTTCGCTCGAAATCACATGAATTCAGATAGGGATCGGGCCTACACGTAGGCAGAAGAACAAACACACCGCGGAGATCGAGCCGCACATTAGGCTCCGCAGTTCTCGAGCCTCCTTCGAATCTTGCACAAGCTCCACGGTGGCTGGACGGAGCCGGAAGCGGCATTCTCCCCGCTCTCGAAGAGCTGATCTCCCGAGTTTAGTTTCCCGAGCGGAATTGGCGCATTAGAAACTTAACAGCTCTGATTCCCCACTTGGGCAACACAACTACGATTTAGCTAGCATTTGTCACAGCCAAAACGATTTCTCTCTCGCCCTCGAGTGATATCATGGCCGATAGAGGAATCTGGAAGGGATTACGAGCAGCGCTCCAAAAGCTTCGAGCAGGATGACTGGAAAAGTCCGGCAACGCGAGACATAAATTGGTCCCCCAGGTGAGCATCAGAAAAATGAAACATTTTTCCTTCGGCACGTCGCGGAGAAACGACCCCGTCCTCAGAATATGCGTCCTTGGCGAAGAATCTCTACATCGATTATGGATCCGATTCGAGGCTCCAACATCGTCCGATACTTTTCATTTGACCTCCCCGCCTCCGAGCCTCAGGGTTTCGACGATATTATGCAGTTTCGGGGAAAATAATTTCATCACTCCAGAGGATACTCACTGTCTCGCGACGATGCTGCACTGGCTGCACTCTTCATTTGAATCGGTGTAGGCCCGTTCGCAGCTTGCGGAGACACCGCGGGCAGAACTCCGCCAGCGGATCCGTTCATCGCGGAGCCATTCGCCGACGAGGAGCTCGAGGATCCCGCGGCTCCCGAAATGTTTGCGCTACCATTCGCTTTGCTTTTTCGCTTTGGTCGAATCTGTGCTTGAACTCCTCCATTTGCTGTCGTCGACGAAGACGACGCCGTCGGACCCGATTGAATCGAGGGCGTGTTCGGTGGCGGATACAATGATACGTCGATGTGAAGCCCATCCAACACTGTCATCAGGTAACAACCTCCCGAGAGCTCGAAGTGCTGAGGGTACTGACGGACTGAAAAGCGGCAGAATCAAAATGAGTTCCGAGGGTTTCCTCATTCAGTTGTCCGGATACCGCATGGGAATGATCAGGAGTAAAGCAAGCGCGAAAAGCTTCCGGGGTAACTTACGTTTTCCTGACGTCTTTTCGAGCAATGGATAGAGATCCAGAGTGGCTTCCCCGAGCAAGTCATCTTTAAGGAACTTCTGATGATTGAATACTCGGAAGAAGATCTTCGAGTATGGTGAAACGAGGACTGGAAATGTTTCTTCCCATTTAGGATGGGCGGTGCCCTTGCAATGCTCCGTTTTCACAGCCGCGCCGCCGTCAACGCTGATTTCCACGTAAGGATCCGGTTTGAAAATGATTCCTGGAAGATCACGATCGTCGTAGAGACCGCCTCACTCATTCGGCGAGATTAATTCACCAGCTCATCAGATTCGGAATTTCATTCCTCGTCAGAGACGCGATTTTGTTTAAAAAAATTGCTTGGGGAATGAGTTTTCATGAAGTGACCGCTCAGAGGCCATCCCTCGGGTGTGCTTGAGCATTGATTTCGAACCATCCTCTCAATGATTGATGACTAGGAAATCGTCAAAAATACCAAAAAAATTATTCAGTGGGTACAGCTCATTTTGAGACGCACTCCTTCGTGGGAAATATCACAACATCACACGATTGCAATCTCAACCCTGACCATTGACCCTTATCCCGCAGTCCCCCATCTACTGCAATTGCCGCAATGCGTCGACTCTGCAGACGGAATGTAGCCGTAATGGAATAGAGATATGTAGAATAGAAATCTGGGACAATTCTCAAAAAACTTCTGCCGGTCCGTGTGAAGCGGGATCGGGACAGCGCTCTCAGGAATCGCGATCTCGTGGAACCGGTTCGGACCAACAGTAGGCATGAAGGAAAATCAAGCGCGACGCAAGCTCAAACGTGGGAGGAACTCTCAGATCGGATCGGGAGCAATTGTTTGATTCGGATATTTCAGGAACGCAGCCAGCGTTAAGAGCAGGCTCTGAATTCATTTAGGGAATGCAGGCTGAGCAAGTGTATGCCTCGGGCTTTGATCACCATTCATCATTAACGCATGCGATCCCGGCTTATAACAAGCAAATATCCGTCGTGGGATACAATGGATTCGAATAAGAGGACTAGATCAGCTGACGGTCGCCGCCATAACAGTTGACGCGAGGCATTCTTGAGATATTGCAACTTAACACTCGCGCGGTGGGCACGGCCAACCGTCGATCGGCCATTTCGCCTTGCTTATTCGTGAGGTATCGCGATCCTGGCATTCTTTCCTCACGTTCCGCAGCTTCCTATGGCTAGATACACGCGCATTCAGGCTCGGGGAGTGAATGATTCACATCTTCACAGAAAGTTATAAGGACTGCTTCATCATGGATCAGGATGAGCTTCCACCGCATTGTTCCGGTGACGCACATAAGATATATCATAAAGCGTTCGCTGGATATGAGTCACGGGCCCGACGCTGCGCCGACATTTCACTCATAACGCCTCTGATATCGCATGGGGTATATGCCACAGTGCAAACCAGCATGGATGCCATCAACAATGGAACTCGGAGACCTCGCTGGTCCCAGCAGAGCTCCGGTTGACGGACGTTAATCCCGGCCCGCGAAATCAGGAAACCGAGCCCGAGGAGCCTCTGGCTCTCTGTCTCACGTGAACGCGGAAGTAGACCATCCGAATTCAGCGAATTTCCCTCGGATCGGCACGAGATCATATAATGGACGTCACCCCAGACCCCGCTCCTCATACGACGCTTATCTGTTGGCGAATCCTGGCGCAATGAGGAGAATGAGATGAAAAATCAAGGAAGCGACGACAGTGTGGAGACGAGCAGAGCAGGCTCGAGCACAGCGTCGAGTGTATCTCAAACGCAGAGCAGCATGATCGGGAAAAAATTCAAGACGTATGCCCTTGTCCGCAAGTTTATGAGCGCGACTCACTACCGGATAATCTCGACTTGATCTTCGGGTGGTCGACTGACGTCAACAACGGCTGCCGGCCATGTCGGCTCTCGCCGATCTCGCGGTATATTAAAGGATGGTATAATGAAGGATTCACGCTGCATGGGGTAGTGTGAAACTTCGCTGTCCTTATCAGAGAAATCGGTTTTCGCTCCGGGGCGCGAGTTTCTGATGCTCGAGATACGGGAATGACCGAACTCGCGAGGCTGTGACAGGCGGATACGGTTTCCCAAGGCCGTCAGAGATCCAAAAGAATGCCGCACCGTAGTGAATTTAAGGGGAATCGCAAAAAGATTAGTTCCGCAGGAATCCACGCAGAGAATATGAATATCGTATCGACAAGGACTCCTCTTGAATTATCGCTGCAAGCAGCAGTCCGGTCGATTCTCCCCTCCATTCGTCGAAATGATATCGTACACGAAAGGTCGCGAGCCTTAGTGATTCGGAATTGTTTTTAACAAAAAATAATTGAATATGACGCCTGGGCTCAGAGGTCGCCCAGTACATCGCGAGAAAATGTCACGCCATATCTTCCGCGAATAGGCTTACTAACAGATGTTCACGTCATTCCTTTGATCAGATGCACAGACAGCGTCTCGAGAGAATCGCAAATCGATCGCAGGCGACGTGCCTCGCAGGTTCATTCTCAATCATGGCATCGATGCCAAGTGAGGCAAATATTGCACTTCTCAGTCGTCGGACGTATCGAACGATACTCCGGACTCCGGAAAGTTAATAGGAGTGCCATCTCCTCTCTTCCTGATTCCTACGGAACATGATTGACTGACTAGAATTCATATCGATAGAGTGGAATGCCCATGCTCCACAAAAGATATTCCTGAAATTAACCGACTCCGAAGGCCGCCTTTGCTCCACTAGCTCCACTTCCAGCTGACTGGCTAGCTCTTTGTCAAGGGTGATTGCGACGATTTTTCATGGCCTGCTGTTCTGGTTCGGTCTTAGACAAATGACTCAGCGATCATAAATGACCATTATTGACGTCTCGATACTGATCTACCGTATGCTCCGAACCCCTCGTAGGTCGAGGAGTCCGAACCTGCCGCACGAACTCTCGAGCTCTGACGTACCGGATGAATGGAGCTTGGCAGACACTGCAGTTATGTTCAGCTCGTACAGAGGGTGAGCGATGGTCAGTTGAGCCGCAGGGCCGCTCGGATCTCCCGAGGCCGCCATCGCGCAACTCTGACGGGGTGTCTCAGATGATCCTCGCACAATTAAGAACCTTTCGTTGCCTCGTAGTTCTGCTGCACTATGTTGTCATGAAAGACGCCATCTTGGTTATCATACGGATAGCAGTTGTTAGGCATCGGATGATTCTGCCGATTCCGCCGGACGGGTGGTCGGACGGCTCCACCACCAGCAGCCAGTAGACGGGCGGCCATATTGGCAAATGGCGGTGATAGGTGATAGCCAGCTTGGCGCGGCTTTCGAAGTTCGGATCATCCCAAGAGCCCCGCTCATGTGGAACGCTTCTCAGAAAGGGGATTTTTACCCGTGAAAGAAGACCCTCTACATGGGAAACGGAAGTTCGCCTTCCTGCAGGACTTCCTGCCTACAAGTATCAATCAGATATCTGTCCACAGGGCCCTCACGATTCACGATGATGAAATCCGAGAGGAGAGAGACAAAGATTTCCGGAGTTTCGAGCCCTTACCGCTTACCGGAGCCCCCTCAAGAATCAACTCTGAGAGTAATCGGAATGATTCCTAGGACTTCATCATGAGGAGGATCATCCCAAGAGCATATCATGAGCGGCGTCTGCGTTACGTGGCCGTGATTCGTCTGGATATTTTCGCCTACAGAATTTCTCCATTTTCGAGAAGGCCGCGAGCTATCACCATCGGGATTGCGAGACACTGAAATCGAGAACTCCGTTGTCGCCGCCACGTTGTCGATCGAGACCGAAGTTCCTGTGGATGCTTCCAAATTCCGATACGCTTCCATCCGAGCTCGATGCTATCCCACGGCCCATGTTCCCGAATCGTGATAACGGCCCAGACCTCGTCTGACGCGGAGACCCATGGACTTTCCGGCTTGAATCACGGCGGATGAGGGAAATTTAAGGCTTCTCCGAGCTTAGCCAGGCTCGATGATTGTGTCTCTTACACAGAGAAGGCCATTCAGAAGGCTGGAAATACTGCTCATGACGATTTTCCTCTGTGGGTACACTGGTAGGCACAGATCCTCCGGCGTCGTGATAAACTATCACGATGGATGCGTCTCTCGTCTTTCATGCGTTCGTCGAGGGGATACTCATTCTTCCCCCCTGAAAGGAAAATCCGATTCCCATGAAACACTGGAGCATCCCTGATCGTGGTTTCAGCGTATCTGACCGTCGAGCATTTCCCGAGTCCCACGGCGCCGACTCTCCTGTTTCGTCGTCCTCATGAACTCTCCACAGATCTCAATTAAACTATCGGATTCTGATATGGTCACCCGCTCTTGACATATTCGGCTTCTGGCTCGATCTCCGTCGACATCAAGTCTGATGATAAGATCATCAATCTCTGAGCTCGACTGGACGTCCACGACCGGATAGTGATTCATCGACGCTCTTCCGAGAGAATCATGTTCATGACTGCGTACATGTAATTAGACTAAGTAAGTAAGATAAAAGGGACATCAATATCTTATTCCGTGTCAGGACTCATCATCATTTATGTACCAATGGAGCATGGTTATTAACATTGATTCAATTCCTAATCATCTACAGGTTAACTTGTCTTCGAAAGATAATTCGGGAGGATATGTTCCTTATTTTCCTCAGATGTCACAGGGTGGACCGAAACATCTTTCGGGCGCAAAACTACTTCAGGGCTTCTTCTGGGGATGTTCTCGTCGCAGCGTGCGGCAAGCTCTCATGATCCCTCCGGACAGCCGCGATTGTTTCGTGCTTCCTGAGAGGGATACTGAAGCTGGGAACGGTTGCCCCGAGCTTCTAAGTTCCCAGAGTTCCACAACCTGTCAGTGACCAAGGGTTTTCCTCCCCAGAAAAAAAACGGAAACGGAGGCACCCTCGAAGACTACTACTCTGCTCCACGATTTCTTCTGCAACAACACGGACCGAACGGCTCACCCTTGTAGTTCCCAGACGATGCCAGTGTCTCTCTTGCTGAATCGAGGAAACAAGGGTGCCGGCGTGAGGCTGAGCAAATTTACCCATACGCAGAGGCACGCAGATGTTCTGAGGAGTAGTGAGTTACCAAGAGTCACCCCGCAGGCTTCCGTCGTTCCTCGAATAATTATTGGGGCATGCTCTGGGAGAATACGGACTTGGACTGCTTCTTCGCGGATTTCTCCCTGCTCATCGGTAGTTCAGACTTCGTACCACTTCTCTACGGGTCGATATGTGACGCCGATCCCAGCTCTGACGAATATTGAATTGGAATATTCGTCTTGAAGGAACGGAATATCCAGTTTCCAAAATAGAGAACGTTTTCACTGTGCGTCGTGAGATTAAACACATCGAACCGGTAATAGGTGCGGCATTCATGTCTCCTGTCGTCCTTGGGAAAAGTAAAATATTCCGATCGAGGGGTCCACCTCAAGAATGATATCTAACACTCTTGATGCTCGACGGTAAATATTGCGACCTGCTATCTCTGCACCCCGCGACGCAGCTCCGTGTATCATGGTGCATGTGCGAAATAACAACCTTTGCTTTGAACCTTAAACATATATCTCGGAGCCGATGCTCAGCTCAACGGAGAACTGGTGCCCCGAGGCACCGGCTCCAATCGATGATCCTGATTGGCTCTAAGCTCGAATATTGTGAGAAGAACGTTCGTTGGATGCTTGCTGAACAAATCCGATGGAAAACAGGGATACGCATCAAAATTGCTCGCGCAGTCCGCCATATTACCCCAGAGTCGGGAGGCCCCTCCCCTCGAAATGAGCTATTGATTCCTGGGATTTCCGACGCTCGAACTCATCGCTGCGCTGGGAGCAGAGCCCGCGGTCGGAGCTCAGGGTCGTTCAACCCATCGCGAACATAACAGGCCTGTGTCAGTCTTGAACTATATCTTCACCGATGTCCGTGAAGAGAGAGCGCACATCAAGGACACCGGCGAGCTCGAGCACGCCCCTGCGCAGCGTCGGATGATCGAGTACTTCGCTTTCAGGAATGGGAGGGAAAGATCTTGGTAGATAGTTGCATCCAGGTATCTTGAAAAGTCGATGTAGCTTCAGGACACAGTAGCAGAAGATGAAACGCAGCATGAGAAGTCTCAAGAAGTCATCTCCATAAAGAGCAAGATATGCCTGATCGATCGATCGCGATCTGAAACGAAGAGAAACTCCTGATTCATGAGTTTCTTTGGAACATCATCCGAGAGGGGAAACGACCACACAATTTCTCACCTTATCAAAACCCTGGACGCCTCTCCCATGAACCTGTGCACATGAGCCTGGCCCTTTTCCCAAAGAGGAAGAGGTATGTCGACTATGTGACACACAAAACAAAAAGCTGACAAGGGACTATGGAGGAACAGCGTGAAGAGGTTTCCCTTGTGATGATGGTCGCGGAATACTGGGGGAACGTCCGCAGTTGACATGAGAACCACGAGAGGTTGCCCGAAGAGTCTTGCCATGTTCTCGAAAGCGTAACTGAAACGAGTGCCTCGTAGATAATTCGCTCTTATAGCAGCCCTGACTATCACAACGAGCATGTCCTCAGCGTTACCGTTCCGAAAACCCACGAATCTACGTATATATGATCGCAATCCGCCGGCGACCACCTCCACAAACGGAGAGTGAATGTTTGAGAGCAGAACTCACCTATTGTCCGAGTCGACTATTATGAAGAGGGGTTTCCGAGTGAAGGTGAATAGGTCTCCAGGATAAAGGCAGTTGTGTTCCTTCAGGACGAGGGCACGTTTCGATGCCGCTATCATGTCGACCGTGTCTCTTTTACTGCTGGTCGCCGCCCCGCCGTGTTCGAATCTGGATGAGAAAAATCTTCTGAGGTTAGGATAACCCATTCGAATCTCTCCCCCTCGTTGTGATTCGTTCCGGGAATTCGATCCTCGGCCGCTCGCCAACGACACTTTTCATCGAACAATCATCGATTATCGCTTATCGCCCTTCGGAAGAACGAGGAACCTCACCCATTGGGAATCGTGTCAGGCACTCGTCCACGGATGCGCATCTCGTTGCGCATGAGTTCATCACATTCGTCTTCGTCTTGTTTGAGTCCTAGACTTTGCGAAGGAGGTTGGGGGAAGGAGCCGTCCGCCGAAATATACAAGAGCATCACTCCGTTCGGCGGTAGTTCTTTGAAGCCCGATGCCAGAAACACGAGAAGTTGCGGCAGAGATGGTCTATAGAGCAGATATTTGTGGGGGTTGTCCTTTTTCCCTCCGTGGAATCTCGAATCCCCGTTTTCAGGGAATCCTCTATGAGCTCCGGGTGAAGTATCGTAGAGATCTCCCGGGAGAGCGGTAGCTTCCCCGCAGGTTGTTTCTCGTTCTAGGGTTTGCAACATCCTGAACATGTCGAGCGTCAATTCTGAGAACTTGACCTGGAAGGATAATTCGATGTTAAGGCCCCTAATCCAGTAGAGTCGCTTGAACGGGAGACGTTCATAAATCATCAGCTAGCCAGCGGAGCATGGTTATTTCCGAAGGAAAATAAATCGTCTCACCTGAGGGGGAGCCACCAATTGATCACAGCTGCTTCCAACTATGACGACTTCTTGCAGAGATAGAAATGGACCCATCATAGATGGGGATTTTTCGACGGGGGGACTATTTGCCACAGATAGCCTGTGGCTGATGACAACAGGAACCGAGTCTTGATCAAGGATATTGACCAAGTTGTCGGCTTCGATAAAGGACCTGATTTCTCCAAGGACTAAATTCCACTCCAGTTGGTCTTCAGGTTCGTAGGCCGTGGTGTAGTCATCTATCAAAGTCGCCAACTCGCGGACTAAATCCTTGACGAGTTTCACTTTTTTCAGTAAGAGGCAAACAACAATAAATCTCGCGTAATATCTGAGTTTCTTCACCATCAGATCGGATCGATGTGTGTAAGTCATTCCGGAATCCTCCTGCAAGACGTCAAGAATCGCAAATCACAAATCTATCGGACGACCATGGCAGAATAGGGGGCGGTGATCCTGAGTTCCCTAACTTCGGAAATATTCGGGGAGGACCACTAGACCATCGGAGCTCGCTGGGACTCACCTTAACCATCTTCGAATAATATCCACGTGCGCGAATGGCAGCATAGAACGAGTACGCTTCGCTGAGATAATTTGTATCGCTCGTCCGCAAATAGTAGTGATAGTATAGCTGGCCGATTTTCGAGGCGATCTCACCGATCTGCCACCTCTTGAGACCGTATTTAATATCTAGGAGCTGTCGGTGCTGCTGTTGAAATTTCCAGAGCCTCGTGTACACATCGAACGTGCGACCGAAGTACGCCTGCCATTGCTTGTGCCCGTATTGAGGGAGGTCCCTAAGCCCGTTGAATAGCTGCTTGCTCTTGTCAAGCAAGTGAACGAATTCGGACACAATCTTCCTTTCTTGTTCTTCTATGTCACTCATCACGGCCATTGTCGTATAAGTTTACCTTCGTACGAACAACATCGGTCACTCTCGCCTAGAAAGAGCTCAACAACTCTGATGCGACTCTACGCCGGAGTCTCCTCCCGTCGCAGCATTGATTTCACCGAATCAACAATTTTATTTATGAAGATTTAGTCCGCAAGTCGGCTCCCGGCGAGGAACTGTCTTATTGGAGCCCCGATTCCTGCTCCGATACCCTCCGGATTGCGCTAACTCCTCGACAGACCGATCGCCTTGATTTTGCCGAACACCACCAAGCTCTCTAGAACTCCGAAGATATTCCTAAATCACATCACAATTTAAATAATCACTGGCTTGCTCCGGGAGCTAAGACACCGTCTCACTGGGGATACGAGGATCCGAAAACCACCCTCGAGATGCGAATGTCCTACGGAGGAGCGAAAAAGAGGGAGGACTCTATTCGAAGTCTGAGTCATGCGATTCGAGCTCAGCGCCGGGCTGCTCTCGCCCCCTTCAACTCCAATGAGAATCGTCGCTCAGGAAAGACTCTTCCCGATGACACCTATTCTCGAAGAGGTGATGTCGCTAGGGGGAGCGAAAACGAAAGCTGTAGGCTCCAATAGGAATCGACTCTTCCCCTTGTTCCTCGATTGCAGATCCTGTGATTCGGATACCGATTGATGTGGTTCCTCATACGGTCTCAAGGAGCATGCGGTCTGGCCACGTTTTAGGAGCGGAAGCCTCCTCCGAGGACCGTTCGGCACTCAAATCGGGATCCCGCGTAAAATCCCGTATAGAGTTCGCTGATCCGCCTCCAACAGAGAGAGATGAGCGCCGCGATCTCCGTCATTCAGAGGGAGCCAAGTTGGTTCATTCGCGGTTTCTCACTTTGTTTTGTGCAGGAGAGTTGTAGTATCGTCGGCCGCGGAGCTGAATTATTTGTGTCTTCAGAAGATTGGTCCGGACTCAGACGCACGGCGATGGAGGGATCATATTGAAGTACACGCGGGAGCTTCTCAGCTTGCCGTCGGATTAGGCCTTCTGGCCCTTAAAGCCCTTGATGATGGGTGTCGCGCGCTTTCACCGCAGGCTCATGATCGACTCCCTCGAGCTCGAATGTAGAAACCTCCACAGAATAAATACTACTTTGTCTCATTGATGGTTGGACTCAGCGCATTAATTGTGTTCAGGTAACATACTCCAGGGGTTTGACATGCTCCGAAGGACCCGGGGCTCGTGACGACAATGGGGAATCCTAATTCCCGTATCAGATAAACCTCTCATTCATCGCATTGGGAAATGTCCATGTCCCGGTGGAATGGGTAGATCGTATATATTCTCTCAGCTACCGGGTTATCCTGCGGGTCGATCGGGAAATGGACGGGCGTACTCTATCGGTCATCCTTCGAGGCCATCGAGGGGTACACGGAAAAGCCCGCCCACCATCAGAATAGATACGGAACATCCTCCGGAGTCCACGGAACTCCAAATTGAAACGCAGTAACCAGCTTAAGTATGCGGCAACTAGCTTAAAAATGCGTTGACCAGATCAGCGATTGCGGAGAGCAACCGACGGGACTAGCGTTTTATGATGGAATGCCGATGAACTCCTCTGAAACTTGTCGAGAGCTGCGTCCGCAAGTCTTCTGCGGGACTTCCCTGAGCCATCCCCTCGGATTCCGCATTCAGGGTCTCAGCGTGAATCTAGTACGATTCGGCCTCAGAGAGTAATGGTACGAACCGTTCTCAGACCGGGATGTTCGTCATTCCGGTCTCGGATGTACGTCGTACAGTGGAACCTCATTGCAAGGAAAACCGTTACAGTGAATTTTAGACACATTTAAAAACCCATCCGTTGGCGGGTTCGCCACAGAGATCATCTTGACTATGTCTCGTTGGGGCGAATTTTGATGCTAAGGGGTTTCGCCGGTCCCCCGAGGTTCCTTGTAACCATATCTTAGTGTCGGTGTTCTGAACTGAGAGTAGTATAACCGGACGACTTCGATAACTCCCAAGTCCGTCGCGTCCCCTGTCGTCTCTAGATGGTTTGACGAATTACCGGCAAAAGGGTCGCTAGAATTGGAAAGTGAGTTTCAGGTCATGAAGTCCCCCGATTCAGATCCAACATCGAAATGAATACCGCGATCGGTTCCTGCATTCCGAAGTATAGCGAAGAGACGCGTTTGGCGAAGGCACATTGAGGCCATCTCTCTTCATTCCGCCCCGCTACGTCAGGACCTCGGCAGCGCATTCGGATGTGAATAGAGGGAAACTCGCATCCATCGTTGATTCGCTCGATCTTCGGATCCCGGGCTGCATGAAGCGATGAGGGACTTCCCTTCTGATTGTGTCGCTCCTCATGACTCATGGCTTAACTTCATGTGAGTCTTGAAAGTTGATGGAATCGGAGAAAATTCCAGCTCCGTCAGAAGGAGAGAGTGTGCGGCTTGAGACGGAAAGCGGCTCGAGGTTGGAAAGGAAAATGAGGATGGTATCAACGTTCCCCGTGGATCTTTGATTTTATTGCAAGGATATCCATGATTTTGATGGGAAACCGTATGACGATAGCTAATCTCCATCCTAGCTGCGGCTCGGTGTGAATATACAGCCAGAACTCGAGCCGTTTCGAGGTGCCGCACGGGTGCCAGATCCGCCGTCAGATCTCGCAATACTATCGCATCTGACACGCTCGGATCATAAGGATTACAAGTATCCCATAAAGAGGAGTGAAAACCTGGAAATTCATCGGAATATTTAGAAATCATCGGTCTCGATTCCGCGCAGCACTACCCGCTAAAATTGAATCTGGAGTACCTCGGAGTAAGTCAGCTGTTTGTGAGAATCGTATTTTGAGCAGAGCAGCTGTTTCAAAGCGAGGAGCGCGAGCAGCTGGAAGAAACTCCAGAGCGCGCGGATGGCCGCAATCTGCGAAAGATAGACGGCTCAGTGACGTTCAACCATTGGAAAGAGTGCCGTTTGACAGAGAACTCGAGGACGAAAGGATCCTGAGCTACAGTTATCCTCAAACTGTTTGGGGAATGCCCGAGGGATCTCCCCACACAATCACCAACCTTGCATTGGCCGACGAAACACAGCCGTATGAAAACAATCAATGCGAAGTAGCATAGCATTCCATCCGCAACGAAATACACAGCGAAGAGACTCCACCTGTTGGGAATCATCAATAACTGAGGAACATAGATCACATCACGAGTTACTACAAACCTCATCGATGATTCCTATCGCTTACCAGGACGGGTTGATGATTCCATCTAATTTAAGGGCAGCCAAGAACGAGAAGATCAAAGTCGCTGACATCAACAGGGACAGTTCAACTGGGGTGAAATTGATCCATCGACAGAGTTCTCCCAGCTCCAGAAGCCTGAAAGCAGATGCTTTCGTATACGAGGGACTCCCGAGGGTAGGGTCAGAGCGCGAATATGAGGCCGTCTTCCGAAAACTCACCTCATCTTCACAGCTCGCGAGCTCTCCTATGACGATGTTATTCAACGTTTTCTCAAGCTTTCGATTTCTCTGCGAGGATGCCGCGATCCCATTCCGTGATTGGCTTTCTTCCTGTTCATGCGGAGTCGGGTCTGCTCCTCCGCGAGAGCTGAGTTTCCCCACCAGCTATTCTGCAACCCGCAAACCTTCACACAAGTTTCAGAGTCATTTCTCCCTCCATTTCCCTCCGTTTCATCTGCAGACGCCGTCGATATCACAGAGCTTATTGATCACACGCAAGCCACCAAGTCTTCTGCTTTCGTCTCGGCGTGAGCTTGATTGGGAAAATGAGAAGACACAGCCCGATTCCGCGGGGAACTCCTCGGTCCTGTCTTGCTCAAGACTCCCGGCTGACAAGCAGGAGACATTGTTTGTTACGGAACGCCGATCCGAGCCCGCCATTTTTCAAAAAAGGCGACATCGAATGCGTGAGTCTCGATTCTCGCCGTGCCTCGTCCCGGGACGGCACAGGAATGTGAAGGAGGGCACCTGTACCCGGAGGAAAGATCTTCCTAGCAGCGAACGGAATTTTTCCGCTGATGTCCGCGAAAATGGTGCGCGCCCTCTGCGGTAGGAGGTCTTATGGAAATGTCCATGGGCCTGTATCGTCGGATCACGCGCCTTTTTTATGATGGCGATCTCCGGAGCTCGTCTCAGGCATCATCTTAGCTGAGCGGATCAGTGGCGCAAGGTTCTTCACATTGGAGACTTGAGGAACTTATGCCACCGTTGAGACCGTCGCAGAGACGCCTTCCCATCCGGTGGCCTCCTCGCGCACCCACGGAGACCGGGAACGGGTTCCTGGGATCGAGACAAAACCCGGAACTGCCGGTTCCGGGGCTGATCTGAGCTGCTGCGAATCTGACACCAGATCGATAAGTAGCTCCGCAAAACGTGGATGGTCAGCCACCACTCGTCCACCAGGTCGAAGAAGGGAAACTTGGGTCGGTTGAGGGACCGCTTGATCGCACTTTGGTATTCCTTCGGTAAGAATCATCCACATCATTGAATCCACTCTCCCGTTCGCAGATTCCACTTTTGTTCGATTCAGCCTCTCTGACCTCCGTGCGCGGTTTTCTCGTGGAATTCACATCGGTTAACCCGCGCGGCACTCCTGCCTCACGAAAGATCTTCGGCGCTCAGCCGTATCAGACGGATTTCACTTCTGGAGATTGGAGATATCATGCTTTCGGCTGCTACTGTTTACCAACTGTCAAAGTGATGCTTGCTTCTTTGCTTGTGTCGATGAGGAGCAGAGTGTAGAGTGACAAAAGAGAGAGCTACCTGTGTCGACTCGTCGAACTGCCTGTCGGACTGTCGGCCCATCCGATTAGAGCAGCAATATGAAAATTCTGATACCTTCCACCCGCACAGTGGAACACAACAGTAACAAATACGTTTTGTATACTGTTCAAGTGGTCGACAACTACATCTCGTTGAAGGTAAATCGGAGTCGGGCGTTCAGACCATGTTTTACTTCTCCGACGAGTGGGAACAGGAACAATGGAGCACTGCGACTTCCTGCGTCCCGCTCCGTGGAGCTTTTATCATTCCTGGAGGAAGCGAGTCTCATGATCGTCCGCCGTAAAATTCAGCGCCTCTAGTTCGGTGGGAACTCACTCAAGTGATATTGTTTTCCAACAGTTCGAGCGGCGGTACAGTGACTTCCACTCTCTGAATAAAACGTTACGACGCCTTTATCCCAATTTGGAGCTGCCGGAATTTCCACCGAAGAAGATTCGGAACCTCAACGACAGGGTGACCCAAGAGCGGAAGGTTTTACTGGAGGTTTGTTGGCCGATCTCGATATTCGGAGATTCGAACGCGGGAATGCCTCGCTCCAAATCCAAAAAGTTGTGAGAGAACATGACAGATTCCTCCCACAGGCCTACCTTCAATCTGCGGTCGATCAATTATGTTACGACCTACCCGGCTGTCTCCAAGACTTCTTGGATTTGGATAAGAGTACGATTGGTGAGTCAAGCTTTGAATTTCTGCTTCGGAGAATCGATGATCCCGTGATTCCGTGATGGGACAATAGCATCCATGGTCACATCACGCCACGCTGCCTTCCGTCGTGGAGGAACATCCACGAGCCCAGTGGTCTCGATGGATTTTGGTCAGGCAACATCATTCATCCTTGTTTTCGATGGCAGCCTCGCCTCGCATGTATCATTCGCACTGAAATTCTACATCGAAGAAAACACCCGCGAAACGATGCGAGGAATACTGGTCCCAATTCCACACGATCTCTCGTCGGCGATTCTCCAAACTCAAAGTCTGTGCTGAGAGACTCTCAAGACGGACCGATTTCCGAGCCTACAGTCAAGATTGAGAGACTTCGTTGTATGAGGGGCAGACTGTATACCCGTGACTGGTAGCTGACGGCTGTGACTGTCGCTTCATGAATATCAATTGAAATGTGCTCCATGAGTACTCTATGAATCGCGGAACCGGGCGCATGGAAATCGCGCATTTCTCTACGGAAGCCATGACAGAGCATACTTGCTCCGAGTCCCAGCCCTTCTGGTTGTCTCCCCGGTATGAGAATCCCGGCAGGATACACATGGGTATCAGAATCTCCGAGAGAGCTTCTTTTCAACATTTCTCAGCTCGTTACCCATCATGGCTCCGTTGTTTGGACTTCGGGTGGCCTTTGCCACCCAAATGTAGCGTGATGGGGAGCTTGTAAGCTTACAGGGGAGGCAACGAGTCCATCAGCGGCCGTTCCAATGAATCAGGATGGCCTCTTCTAAAAATAAACGGCACTCTCAGCATTCTCTTCTATATTCACTATTCATGAAGAAAGGCTTTAATGTCAGGGAGTTACCGAAGCGCAACCTCATTTCACCGAAGTAGCAGTAGCTTGCTTAGGACCCCCGCGAGGCGAATCAACGATTTCCTTGAAAACCGATGTCAAATTATTCCAGGTCTCTTGAACGATGAAGATATCTCATCGGACCATCAGCCGATCCTGAGCTTCGTAGAGGAGCCTTTCAAACTATCAGAGTCGCCCACACTACCAAATACGATAGTGGATGCGACGCTGGATGCAATATACTAGCAAATAAGGTCCCTGCTGTGAATTGGAATCGCATTTATAGAATTCAGAAACTGAACACCGAGATGGTCCGACCGGAGCGTGAGTGACTATCTCACCGCGGTGTCTCGCAGGGGATCCATCAGTATTTTTCGAAAAGATTCTCGCTTTCAAGATGTCTTTCATGATATTGCTTACACTGTGCATGGGCAATCCCGCTTCGGCTGGATCCTCTGCCATATGCGGGAAGGGTCCAATCAGGGATTTCAATGACTTCGGCACAACGTACACTGATAATCATTGCGTATTACACGACGTATGTTGGCATCATAATGGAATTCTATTCAACCTCAGCGACAGTCGGAATGCCGGACCTTGGCCGGTGCTGGTGTCGGGCTCCTCGGTACCGGACCATGACGGTATGATTGTAGATATCACACCGGTTCAGAAACAAACCCTAAGGATAATTCTAGCTTCTTCTAATATTGTGTTCACCGAGAGCGCTGTTTTACTGCGGAGCTTCCTTCCCGACAATCTCTTTCATGTGTTACATGATGATATTTTGCCCACATTCGCAATGAAAGAGAGCTTACCTAGGCTCAACTTGACCCTATTTTTAACCAAGAGCGATATCGACCGCTTCGATGATTACTATTCGCTCCTTCACCTGCCCATAGTATATGCGAAACGCGGAGAGATCAGATGCTTTCGTCGATTATTTGTGGGTTTGCCGAAGACCACGCTCTGGTACCAATACGGTTTCAGATCCCCTCAGTGTATCCTTGGAGGTTCTGATGTCTCTATTATTCAGAAATTTGCTGCCGAATCAGCTCTCCAAGAGAGTAAACTTTATATCCTGCGCAGATGCACAATTTTAATTCGCCGATCGAACAGGCGCATTCTGAATCTGCGGGAAATCGGAAATTTTCTCGAGACGGAGTTTGATTGTTCTGTAGAGATGCTTTCGCTTGAGGAAGGATTGGCGAACTTGCGATATAAGTTGTCGCTCACAGATATATTAATTTCTATGCACGGTGCTGAGCTATCCTTGAGTTTCTTTGTACCAGCAAATGCCATCGTCATCGAACTGTTCCCGTACGCCATCAACTCAGCGAACTACACCCCCTACAAGAAGCTCTGTGAGCTCCTCGATTTGATATACGAGCCTTGGGAGAATAGGGTTGAGGCAAATACCATGGCTTACCCGGAAAAATGGTTGTCAGCTCTGTCTTCGGAAGAGCAGCTAGAAATCAGGAAAGCGAAAATTGTGAAAGAGCATCTCTGCTGCACCAATCCCGCTTGGCTCTATCGAATATATCAAGATACTAAGGTAGACGTGGATTCTCTGCACAAGATCCTGCAGAGAGCGATTGCCCGACGGAACTTGCGACTGAGATGCCGCAGCGATAATTTTGCTGAGATGCTGGAAGTCCACCGTGCCCGTATTCAAGACCGAATGGAGAGCTCATCAACAGAAAACTGGAGGTCTTTCTGGACATTCTTAACTCGTACGGAACCGAAATGTGGTCCGACTTTTCATCTGGGACGGGTGCGCGATATACGTTGCGTCCGGAGCGCAGGAGACGCGAGAGTTGTGACCTGGAGGGCGCCAATCAATCAGGTAGATGACCTGGACATCGAAAACTCATATTTTGAAGTCGTATCGAGATGCGGATCCGAAGTCCTCATGACACGTACAAGACAGACAAGCTTTACTAGCTCACCCTGCAACGAATCCATGGATGTATGGGTACAAGCACACGGTGGCATCAAAGCCATGTACCCGGTCACCTGCTGACGAGGATGAGCATATCCACTTCTTTAGTGACTCAGATCCTCTGCCTCATATCATCCTGCGAGACCAAAACCTGTGTTATGTAAAGAGAATACCTCCTACATATTTAAGCATTACTATATTTTGTGCTTTCCTCCTCCTTGACCTTCACGAGCATGGATTTAAATTATGAAGCAGCCAGATGAATCTGTATATAGCTTTTGGTTGCAGCATCAATAAAATCAATAATTCCTGATCCCCCGCTGCTCAGAATTCTCGTATTTTCCATAGAATTTCAGCAAGACGATTTCCGAGGCAAGGGTAAGCGCTCTCAATCGGTGCCATTCATCGAACACTACATCTCATGAGATCAATGTGCGGGAAACGGGGCAACATTTGGGACGAAGGGGTGAGGCTTCGGATACTGGAGCACGGGCGTGTGATTCAGCGAAAAAACGTGGAAGGAGCTCTGGATTTTTTCGAGGCAAAATCTTCAAGCCCGCATAGGAGGTCATGATGTAGGCCAGGAGCTCGCTCCGTGGCGGATCAATTCTTCCCAGTCGTGCGATTGGACGCATGATGAGATCTCGGGAGATCAGAATCGCGAGGCAATTTGAACCTCCCGGGAGGAGCCGCTAGCGATCCGTCGAGCCTCTCTCGATTCTACCCTCTGTCTGCTGCGTGAGAACAGCGTGAGAGAACATATGGATTGCAAAAGCATTCTACGGTGCCGGGATCATTCCCGGTCCTCTAGAATTGGTCCAGTAGACCAAGAACGACCGAGGGACTTTCTCGGTAGAACAATCTACATAGTTCTACAATTTTATCGAGCCTCAGCTCCCTCTCAACAGGGAGACTAATTTTTCCAACCATCAGATCCTAGCGGACAAAAGGACTTTCGATTGCCGCGATCGATCTTGCTTTCGGAGAAGAAGACGGTGGGACCTTGATGCCGGAAACGGGGGCGACGTCGGCCAGGCACCTTTTTGATCCTTCGGACTTCTCAGTTTCGAGCATGATCTCTATATTCCGAGCTCGGCTGATTCCACTGTCCGCGATAGCGCTTATAATCATGGACAATTCCTCACAGGTGCAACGAGGAGGCTACGGACACAATAAAATCCCAGCAGAACGCGAATTTTATTCATTTCTCACAGTGAAAGAACGCGTCCGCGTCTAATACTTCATCTTGAGTCACCGTTCGTGGATGACCGACTTCACCTTGCTCAATATTAGCATGAATATTGGAGAGAAGCTTTTCCGCGCAAGTCGTGGTCTTCCGAAGATGGTGATGTGTTCCTTGAAGGAATTTCTGCACGATCTCCCGATCTTTCAAGCCCTCTTAGCCTCCTTGAGACGATCATATGATGTTCCGCTCGATTTCGATTGAATTTCCGGAGTGGGGTTCTGTGGAGAAAAATCCATGAGCTTCTCGGAAAGGTCTTCGAACGGCCTAGGGAGCGCGCTCTCTCTCGCCCGACTCGGCCGGAGCTGCTTCCACAGGATAAGGTATCAAGTTCAACGTGAAGCAACTCTGAAGAAGGCATCAGCGTCATAGGTGGATCTGATATGTACTCACATGCTTCACGATGTAGGATTTCAGGTAGAAGTTGATGAAAAGGACCAGTCCCAATGTACCTTGCGCGAATGCCCAGACGAGTAAGCCTGCGGAGCGCAGAATCGACGAGATCGCTCATGAGGCTCCTCATTTTTCCCGCAATGAAATACTGATACGATGCCATAAATGCGAGATCAATCACCTCTAGGATAGCCGCAGTCGTAGAATATGGGGATCATGATGTGGAAAAGCAGACCCACAAACTGACCGATCTGAATCCTTGTTATATATCGTTTCCACCACAGATAGGGCTTCACCGAAGGTCCGCAGGCGGCCAGGAAGTAGTAGGTGTACATGAGGACATGCACGGCCGAGTTCACAATGATTCCCAGGACAACCTGATCGCGGAGTCAGTTTTTTTTTGCTAGTACACCACGCCCATGCTTTCGTGTAACCTATCTACGGCAGCATCATCGGAGGAGAAGCCTCACCTGACCATCACATCCGACAGAAACGAAGAGCCAGCCTGACCAAGCGACCAGCGCGTGGTGCGAGCAGTGGAGTGCCGTTATCTTAAATCAAACGAGTCGCATAGAAGTTCAACCTCCGGCCACCATTCGACTCTCACTCTGATTTCCGGGTAGCTTCGAATCTCCGTGGACCATCCAACGTCCGAGGTGGATTCGTGCGAACGTTTCACTCTGGACGCTCATGCCGAGCAATAAATTATGAATGTACCTGATTGAATTTCTTTCGCATGACGAAGAAAATTGTATCCAATAGATCAAGAACTCGGATGATGCAGTAGTAGTAACCGAGTTTCACGAGCATGATTGAGTTCTCGTCCCGCGAGTGATCCATCTTCTGGCAGAACAGAGAATATCCGCCACCGAAGTAGCTGTATCTGTGATTCGAAAGCCGAGTGAGTGTCGTTCCAGAGGAGTTCGAGATTCAAATAGGAGTTCCGAAACTGACCTAGAGAATTGGATCGTGAAGAACAAGTTGATGAAAATGTTCGCGAAATTGTATGCTTTGATGATCGTCGTGATCTCGAAAGCTGGTCTGTCCGCCATCAATTTCGGACCGAGAATCTAAAAGAGTCAACGCTTCCATATTTCCTCTTTGCATTATTCGAGCTGCATGAGAGAACGTCACAGAGAATCCGAGAGATTCTTCGGTCTTTAAGTCCGTCTGTGAAATCATATGACGCAACCTTGACAAAGTAGAGATAAGCGATGACTAATCCTGTCATGAACCAGAAGTTCCCTACAAAGGGATATCCCTCGAGTCGCGGATCTAAGGTTGGGAAAACTGTCCATGGCCAATGCAGTTCCTGGAAGGTGAAAACGAATGAGTTGTACCCGGGAGCTCCCGACAATCTTTGAGTAGTAGAAGAAACGAAGACTCAAGAGTCATCGGCCTGAGTGGCGGATCGTATGCAGATGAAATATGCAAGAAGAGGTTTGTTGAAAGGTCATTAGTTCTTCAAGTGAAGCATCCTGTCCCGGATATCTCCCGCGGTGATCCTCAAATTTCATGCGATGACAAACTCGGCTCGTATATATATATTCAGTGAACTCTGCTCTGTTGGACCACCGGATAATCGTACCCTCCGCTTGCTCGGACCGGAACCCGGATGCCCGAATGAGGTTTCCTAGTCAAAATCACTCCGGTCAGTCGGACCAACCGCTCACTGGGACCAAGATGAGATGATCCCGGGGTGGTCCCATTGAGCAGAGTCCGCTGTACCCAAGTTCTTGGTGTCGATAATCCCAACCTTCATAGCGCCCAGAGCACCTCGCGGGAAACTCCCGGACGGATCATTTGGTTGTCATCGCGAGACGGGCAGTATTCTCTAGTCCTCAAAGGGCTCCCATTTGAAGCATCGAATATCTTGACTTTGCGATTCCGTGGGAGAACAGAATCACAATTATTCAAAGAGTCAGAATCGCGATCCTAGAGAACAGAATCGAAACTCAGGAGATTATCATGTCATGCGTCTGCGTCGCGTCGCGGTCTACTTTTCCGAAGAGTATTCCATTTAAAGCGGCTAAGCTGATTGAGACCGAAGGACACACGGTCCAGAGAATAATTGGAACCCCGGAGACCCTTCAGGAAATTCCCGGTGACAATTCACGAGCTCATCATCTACTGGCTCTGGCTCGGGATCTCCTACACTTGTTGACCTATGGAGCGGAGTGACTCCACGACAATGATATACACATGTCAGGATGTTCCCATCGAAATTATCTCGGTACCTCCTCTCCGAACTATCCCATAATCCAGAATCCGAACTTATCCCCGGAACTTTCCTGGGTTCATGGAGATTCTCACATCTAGAGAAACTTTTCTTCTCGGGAACTCTAACAGGTCGCCCGCAAACTGCTCGAGTTTCCATCGTTGCAAAAACGAATGTCATTATTCATTAGTTGAACTCAGGAACAGAGTATAGTACGGCCTTTTTGGTAAGTAAATTCAGCTAGTTTACTAGAAGATTGTTCCGGACTGGCAATCGGTAGCATGGTATCTCGAGCATGAGTCTCCACAATACCTACAAAGACACTCAGCTCCATCGACATCATGGAACCTGTGTCCGTGCAGAGCAGATGATGATATCCATGAACCAAATATCTAGTGATCACATGCCATCTGAAGCGGACTCCGCCCAGAGTTGCCGCTTTCTGAAGGTTTCTTCATGTTCCAGCTCGCTTAGAGCGTCGTTGACTTTCCTACTCCATTCCTGGAGCACTTGAATGAAGGGAGGCGTCTGTTCTGCTCGAATTATTTCTCTGATTTCGTTTATCATGAGTAAACTCCCCGTCAAAGCGTAGCAAAAACGAATGTCGGATTCGATTTTTGAGGAAACGGTGGAGCGCATCTCGGCGTCCAAGTCCCTGCACCGCACGTCTGTACAGTATCCCGCGGGGAAACCGAAGGGAGGCGTAGAAAAACTTCCCAAGCGCTGGATCCGCTCATACGCTCACAGAGCTCTCTGAGGAGGCTCTGCGGCGGATGAGTCGGATGAAGATACGGAACCTTGTATGAGATTGTTCACAGGAGATCGCCCGATGACCGATAACCTGTCGATTCGAAGAAGTCCGAAATGGGGGATTTCCAGACATTCCATCCCAGGGGTACACATTCTGAGGGTTCCGTCTCATCATGCAAAGAACGAGGCCCCCTCGTAGGCAAAGAACTCTGCGAGAGGGTACGGGAGTCTCGGACGCCGATTGCTCGGAGGGAAACCGCCGCGCATATGCTGGTATTGTGCAACATTTTTTTCGATAGTCGTTGGCTGCTGAAATGAGTGTTACAGCGGTGCAAAGAAGTGCCTTGAACTTACTCCAAAGAAGCTTGAAGTGAGGAATCAAAGGACCCTCCCATGACACATCGAGGTGATTCTCAGTGAGATCCTCTCAATGATCTCCATCTATCGGCTCCGAGGCAGCGGCGCCCCCGCATGGATGTTACGAGTTACGAATAGTATCTGTTTCCCCGCTGAGACCATCGAGGATCAAGGAACTATGGGACTTTCGAGATAGCTTGCGAAGCAGTTTGGAAGGACGAGTGACTCAATCAGGTCGATCCAGATGGGGTTCCCTGAGTTTCTCATGTAGCGAACGCTACAACCTCGAGCGACGCTGCATTTTGATCTGCCGCGGAATTCCTTCAAAACTCGACGCATGGTATCGACAAACGCTGAAAATCCCACTGGAGCTCTCGGCCACAGTCATAAGCGACTGAGTCCGAATTCGGCGGGGCGAATTCTGCCAGTGGCGCTCTTGACCTTGAATCACTGCCGAGTCTATCAGCATCGTCGGAGGAGAGGCAACTCTCCAAGGAGCACACGGATTATCGTCGAGCGGCAGTAATTCGAACCTACCTCCAATTCTGTAGTCATATTTACTCCGAGAGAACTGAGGCACAGTACGGAATGTCGGGAATAATCTAAGAACCCACAATATGCTTCGATAAGGCCACCGAACGAACGGTTCGGGCTCCGGGGGAAGGTGAAGCGTTTCACTTTCGCTTTCAGCAGCGACGTCAGCCGTCGGACGCTTGGAAGACGGTGCGGCGCTTGACGATGTCTGGGGGGAACTTTCAGAAGCCGAAGTTATTTAATCCATCCTCGGCTCGAGTTATGGGCATGATCGAGGAACCATTCCCCATCCCTCCCACACGGGGGCTGGTTCTCCCGCTATTGATATGAGAGCGGCCAGGATAGCAGCTCAGGGGAGCTCCGGAGTGATCGAATCGGGAAAGGCCTCATTTCAGAGTTCCAATCGTCTACCGACGGTGGACAAGAGCTACTTGCATACGAATCTCCATCACACCGAAGGGACTACCGCCTCCGTCTCAGGTTATCGACCAAGAACTCAAGTGCCGGAAACGCCATCTACGAATTCGCTGGCTTCGGTTGTTTTCCGTTCGGTTACATAACGGTCGATGGAGAGGGCAGCCGCGGCTCGGATGAAATCACTTGCAGAAGGGTTCCGCTCCGTTCAGTGTTCGCTCCGTCAACTTGACCTTCACCGCGAGCGATTTTGAGCCCGATGGATCGATCCTGCGAAAGTACGCGCCTGGGGAAAAGATTAGTCTGTGACATTGAATCGATGACCGACATAGCGAAGCGAAGCAGATGTAACCAGCAGACAGACAGAATCTCTTCGGCAGCCCGAATGAAGCAGTGGTTCATCGATTGCCTAACTCATTCCGGATTTTGAAGCTGGAAAAATGTGAAAGTCCAGTAAATGTTCCGCTCGAAAACCCATCCACGTAGACAGGAGCGTTCCCAGGGTTTTTTTTGGGGGGGCCAGACTAGGTTTTCGGGGAGCCAGAGATCCAAAATGATGAGGTACCCTGTACTCCTGCATTACGCAAAAAGAATTTTGGGGGGGGGCATCGGCCCCCTTGCCCCCCCCCCTGGGTACGCCACTGGGAGCGATACGTCCCTCGGCGCAATTGACAATCGATGCCCACGCAATGGGATAGAAACCAATGGATAGGCGAGAAAACCATTGAGGACGCCCGAGGGTTCACGACATTCTCTGCGAGCAGACCTGAATCGAGCTCTG